TCTAAGTACTAGCTCCAATACTTGGATAATTGACACTGGTGCTTCTGATCATATGACTTATGATGCTAAATTTTTTGATGAGTTGCCTAGTAACACCCGTGACCCATACATAACTAGTGCTAATGGTTTGCCCTCTCCAATTACTGGCGAAGGCACCATTTCTCTCACCCCAACTCTGTCCTTGTCTCGTGCGTTATTAGTTCCCAATATCCATTGTAACTTGTTATCTGTTGGTCGCTTACTTGATACACTTAATGCTTATGCTACTTTCTATCCTACTCATTGCTCTTTTCAGGATCTCAAGACTCACGAAGTGATTGGGCATGGTAAACGGATAGGGGGGTTGTATTATTTGATATTACCTTCTGCACCAGTTCGTGATCGTGTCGTTAATACTGTTCAACGTTGCGGTGTCAAAGACAAACAGCAAATTTGGTTATGGCATCGTCGCTTGGGACACCCGTCATTTGGCTACCTTAAGCGTCTGTTTCCATCTTTATTCCGCTTCTGTGATGGGTCTAGTTTCAAATGTGAGACTTGTGTAATGGCCAAGAGTCACCGTACTGTTTTTCCCTTAAGTAATAATAAAGCTGCTTTGCCTTTTGAGTTAGTCCATTCTAATGTATGGGGTCCTGCTCGTGTGACTTCAAATGGTTTCCGTTGGTTTGTTACGTTTATTGATGACTGCACTCGCTTAACATGGGTGTATTTGATGAAGAATAAACATGATGTTGCCTCTATTCTCCCTGATTTTTGTGCCATGGTGTCTACTCAGTTTCATGATCATGTTTAAGTATTTCGGACCGATAATGGCGGTGAATATGTGAATCATACCTTGAACCAATTCTTTCGTGATCACGGTATCATTCACCAAACTACCACTCCATTCACTCCTCAACAGAATGGCGTGTCTGAAAGGAAGAATCGTCAGTTACTTGAAGTTGCCCGCTCTCTTATGTTGGATATGTCTGTTCCCCATCATCTTTGGGGACATAGTGTCTTGGCCGCGGCCTACTTGATTAACCGTACTCCTAGTCGGGGTCTTGATTTCAAGACTCCACTTGATGTGTTGTGTGCCCATACTCCTCCGGTTTCGGTCTCTAAGTTATCTCCGAAGGTGTTTGGGTGTGTTGCTTATGTTCATGTCTACTCCCATCAACGGAGTAAACTTGATCCTTGTGCTCTCCGTTGCATCTTTATTGACTATTCTACTACTCAGAAGGGTTATAAGTGCTATCACCCGCCTACTCAGAAGGTACATATTACTTTGGATGTTACCTTTCATGAAGAAGTACCTTATTATGTTTCCCCCTCCTCTTCAATTCAGGGGGAGAGGGGGAGTAAATTGAAGAGTTTCGGAGTAGAAAATATGGAAGATATTGGACCTGAAGAAGGAATTTCTGGCAAACAGGAAGCGACCGGTCGAATGGAGGAAACGACCGGTCGCGAACAAATCTGCCTGGATACGACCGGTCGCATAGAAGTGAGCGACCGGTCTCTAACGAATCTGCCTGAAAGCGATCGGTCGCACATAGGAAACGACCGGTCGCCTGCCTCAATGAGCGACGACAATGACAATACGAGTGACGCGACCGGTTGCCAGGAATGTCACGACCGGTCGCCCGGTGATATTTTGGAATTTTTTGAGCCTCTCTCAGAAGGACATAACAGTGATACTAGCGACTCTCATACAGATGAAATTGATACAGGACCCCCCTCTGCCCTGCCACTGCCCCAATCAACTCGTGATAATGAGGT